TTTTTTACAACATTCATTTCAACTTCTTGTATATTTGAGATTTGGACGTTAACGAGTACAGTACTTTCGGTCCAGTGCATAAGTCTGCCCGGTTCCGTACTCGCGACTCAAACTGCAAATATGGTTTGGCGATCCAATGTCTAGTATAGACAGTGAATTGACAAACAGAAATTGAACTGAAATTTATTATTTAATGTTTTTTACGACATCCATTTCAACTACCTGTATGTTTGAGATTTGGACGTTTACGAATACAGTACTTTCGGTCCAGTGCACAAGTCTGCCCGGTTCCGTACTCGCGACTCAAACTGCAAACATACTTTGGCAACCCAATGTCTAAGATAGACACTGAATTGACAAGCAGTAATTGAACTGAAATTTACGTAGATACTTTTACGAATTAAAATGCATTTCAAGTATAGTACAATTGGCTTAAATCTGATATTTTTAGGGATGTAGGACTTGGATACGAGTATGTGGATATCTTCCCTACATGACTTAACGTTATTGACGGATTATTAGGATTATAAAAATTGAAATAACAATGTTGTTATGGTAGAATAGCAAAATGAATATACCAACAGTGAGCTCATACCTGGTTTCAAAACAAACGCAATAGTAAATTAACTTTGTAGAGAGAGATTAATTTTGTGTCAAAAAGGAAACTGGTTGATGTTCCATAGATTTATCCGCGACCGCCATCAGCGTGGTCCTCTGTGTTGAATTGACATGTTGCGTGGAGTGTACTGCTGCTGGTGTACCACTGTGAGTACAGCTTACTGCTGGCTTTGTTGATTGTGCGTGGCGTTTATATAAGGAAGCGATTATCTTATTCCCACTCTATTGTTATTACGTAACGTTACAATAGATTATTTGTCTTTGTTATGTGAATTGCGCATGTGCGCGTATTCATGTCGTGTTTTCGCATAATGTCGTTGGGTTTTTTGCAAATTTTATATGATAAAAGTGTTCCCTACATTGAGTGTCATCTTATGATTCTTTTTGCGCATAACATTAGCATTGATTTCAGTTTGTTTGACCAAATATCGTATAGTGCGCATGTATGCACATTTTATGTCATTTTTGTACATTGTCGTTACTTTTTTGGCTATATTGTTATAAGTAGGGTGTTTTGTATGTTGTGTGCTGTTTTATTATTCTTTTCGCGCATAGTTTTGGCAGTGATATCTGGTTATTTGACCGAATGTGGTGTGGTGCGCATGTGCGCACGTTTTATGTCGTTTTTGCACATTGTTGTTGATTTTTGGCGATATCAGTATGAGAAGGTTGTTTCGTATACTGTGTCTTGTTTTGATGTTGTTTTCGCGCATAGTTTTGGAAGTGACATCTGTTTATTTGACCGAATGTCGTACAGTGCGCATACATGTACATTTAAATTATATTTTTGCACTTTGTCGTTAGTGTTTCTGCAATATTAATATGAGAAAAGTTATTCGTATGTTAAATGCTATCGTATTTGTCTTGGTGCGCATAGTCTTGGTATCGACATTTGGTTGTTTCACCAAATGTTGTGTAGTGCGCATATGTGCACATTTGAGTTGAGTTTTGTACACCGGAAGTGTTTCTGTGGTGTAAGTTGTATAAGCTTATTATGTCGATGAATTAAATATTTGGTATTATGATTTCGTAAGTTAGTGCTATATCGAATTTTGATGAGGTGTTGTCTTTTGATCTGCGTTATGATATATTGTTGCTATTTTGTTATTTTCCCTTCGTGTAATTTTTGTACCTAGTGATATTTTGTCGCTTAGATGCTTGAGTGAGTAACATACTTTAATCATATGTCATTGTGGGTTTTTTGTAATTTTTGTATGAAGTATTTGTTTCAATAGGTTGTGTGTTTAAGTGTGTTTAATGTCCTTTTTCATTTGTGTAAAGTTTTAGCGACAGTTTTGGGCATTTAATTAATTTTTGTATTTGTGCGCATGCGTCGGTGTTCGTATGGTATGGAATTTTCGGTTACGTAATGATGTGCGTGTGTTGCGTAAGGTTTTATTATCTTGTTGTTTCATTATAACCATATATGGGCATATTTTTCGGTGTATGAGCGTCTTGGAAATATTGTTATGTAATCGTGAAGGAATGTTGGTTGCTTAATATTTCTTGGTATTGCGTAATATGTTTTAATTGCGTTTGTGGTTTTTTACAGCCTAGTATGAACCTACCTGATATATTCACTTTACATGTTTATTTAAATATAGAGTATATTATTCATATATTACAAGGCATTAATGTATTTTTTATAAACGATAAACTGATATTTCAATGATTATTTTAATAAGTAGGTAGGTACTACAAATTGTTATAATATTCGAGTGTAGTAATAATTTTTAATATATTCAACTGAGCTGTTTTAAATTTTGAGTGGAGCTATGATGTATTTATTGTGTAACGATTTTTTCGGTCGAACGTGTATCGTAATAAACGTGTATCTCATCTGATTCCTAACCCCCTATATTATGAATCCTTTTAAATGTTTAATTCTACTTTTATTTTAATCTACCCACCTATTTCGCTATAAATTAACAAGTGTAAAAATAGTACTGCCAGACTGGTCTATCCTTGTTAAATTGTGTAAGTAAACAAATAAATAAAAATAAAATACTGTAGATTTTTTAAAATAATAAAAAAATAAAATATATGGACCCAGCCCAAACACATATTTATGTAAAAAATCTTAAAATATGACGTATATCTGTATTCAATAAATCCAACAAATGTGTCTATAATATTTTTTATTTGATTTGAAGATTTTAATTTTAATTATTTATAGAAACTATCAGATTGGAAAAATAATTCTGACTAAATAATTTTGTTTAAAATACTTAAAACTACAGTTATGTTAAGAAACTATTGAGCAGATGAAAAATCAGTTGCTCAACAATTACACATTAGGTGGCAGTTTTAATGAAGTATTAAAATATTGTTGTAGGAATGTTTTGAATCTTTAAAGTTCAAAGTTTATTTAGGATAATATCGTAGAGAAGTATGTCTATAGTAGTAGGTATAGTGGTCGGGTGGATATGTACTTTGTATGATGAGAGAAAGAAGGTGAGACCTGTTTAATACTTAGGTATCTCTTTATCTTGTGTTCTGTTTTAGGGTTTTTTTGTTATAAATAATTAAGTACCAATCGAAATTTACAATAAACTAGAAGTTTTTACTGAAAAAAATGATACATTTTACTGAAGCAAATATATTTCCAGAAAAATAATTTCAAAAAAAAATGTATATATATTAGTTATATTTATATTGATTATCTACAAATCGTATTATTCTGTTGTTTTTGTTCTAGAAGTTAGGACTATATTGTATAATGGAGTCATATGAATAGGTACTGTAATACAGGCAGTTAGTAGACGTAAGTAGCTATATCCATTAAAGCTCACATTATATATTTATAGTTAGTGTAGATCATGTAGTATGCACAATTATCTTGTACAATGATCTTGTTCAATGTATCCAATCTTATACATATATAAATTAATGTTTATTTGTTTCTTTGTCGTCTATATACTCAGTTACTACTGGACCATTTTCAACACAAGTTAAATAAATAGATCCATTAAGTCTAAAATGGTGTCTTAAGTTTATTTTTTTTCAATTCCTATAGAATATAAGTTGCTATTAGGTGACTCATTATGAATTTAGTTTAGACTCAGGAAAATAGAATTTTTTTTTGTATGTTTAAATGGTTGCCATTGGTTACAGGTTATGTTAACATTATAATTAGTAGAAATATACCATATAAAAATTAAAAAATACCAGACCACAAATTATGTTACATAAAAAATATTTACGGGAAAAACAAGGTTTTGAACGAAATATCGTTCCAGAAACAAACGATGTATTTTTTTAATATAATTAAAAATTATATGCAAATTAGGAACTCAACAAGTACGAAGTAGTTAAAAAAATATATAAATAATTATTTAACACATAAATAAAATTAGTTGCATTAAATAGGCGGTGCAATTAATTTCTTTCAAAACTACACGGGCAAAGGTGATTAATTCAGTTAGTTTTATATATTATTTTGTTCCGATATTTTTGTTTTATTTTACTGAAAAAATACCTATCTTTAGAATTTAAGTTCTTATAAAAAAACATTGTATAAATTATAGGTACTGAATATCTTAAAATTCTATACATTTGAATTTTTTCCTAACGAAAATATGATGAAAATATAATTTTGTTCTGACTTATAATTGTATATATTTATGTTTTATTTTTTTTTATTAATCTAAGATATTACAACAAATATTCTCATTTATATTCAAAATCAACAAAAATTATGTGTGATTGTAAATTAATATAGTTGAGATCCATCATCGATGTGCGTTATTCCTTATTTGATTGGATAATTGTACGTATTAAATACAATAGTTTAATCGAGATGGCCTAACGTAGTTACGTGTCTGGCATTCAACGGTAACGAATCTTGTATTCAAACAGTACCGAAAGCGACAAAGTTAGTGAATAATTGAAGAATAAGCGTAAACCTTTCACGTTGGAGATAAAACTCGATGTTGAAATTCTGATGGTAATTCATTTACGAGAAGCCGTTATACGACCGGTATATCATTGTGTGGCGAGCACACGTATTTTTAACGGGCTCGTGTTGAAGTATTGTAGGCTTGTAGCCCATCAACGAGACTCGCTATATTATTGTACCTATAGGTACTTAAACAAGTGGAAACTTATAGTGAATTGTTTTTTTTTCTTCTTCCCATGTCCCTAGATTGCATACCCTTCACGGCAGGGCGCCTATCGGATCGAATCAACGCGCGATGACGGACAACACCTGACGTTTTGTTGAATGCTGGTGTGATAGGCGAATTGATCGGTGTTCGGATCCCAATGCAGACTAAATTTCAACATCGAGTTTTATCTCCAACGTGAAAGGTTTACGCTTATTCTTCAATTATTCACTAACTTTGTCGCTTTCGGTACTGTTCGAATACAAGATTAGCCGACCTTTAGGGTTCTTCCTGCGAAACCGGTGTATTGCTTGGCTCGCTGGCAGGTAGTGGCGACGAATCGTTAACAAACCGTTGCCACGTGACGTGAGTGCTGTTTTCAATCAAACGCCGAAGCTTGCTTTTCGTCTGAATGGCATTATTACCATTGACGAATTTTATGTTGTAATTGTAAGTGTTTTGAGTTCCATTAATGTCGTATATTGTTTGGCGATTTTGAGATCCATTTTGGTGTATTGATTTAGACGGTGCAGCTCCTTTATCAAATATTTTTTCTAAAGTGCTATATATAAAATCATAGCCGATTTTTATAGCAGCCATCGCACTAACGTCATGCGTGGTGACGTTGTAATTATTTAGATTTCGGTCATAATTGTCAATTCTTTTTGTAACGTTTCTCAAGTCGTTTCTCACGTCTTCAAGTATTTTCTTCATATCTTCAATATTTTTTTGTTCCTTTAAAAAAAAAAAAAAGATTTAAGTCAGTGCGTGTAATTACATATAATTTGATATAATATAATATGAGATACAGGCTGGTGACCACGGTAGATTATAGAGGATACGCCGACTATCAAAATCGTGTCCCGAGAAATATGTTTTAAGAAGGTTCTCACCGCTAGATCACGTAACAGTCTTTTGGCCCTAACTAAATGTTTATTTGTATTCATATTATAGGTAGGTAGTAGGTACGTATTATATTTTGTCTACAACGAAATATGAATTATATTTTATATTGTAATACAATTTTCATCATAACGAAATCAAAGTAGGTATAATAATAAATTGTTTATTTATTTGAATGTTTTCAATTGTTTTTGTGTAAAAATGGTTAAGTGTTTTATAGTATATTGCAAATCTGGTTATGCAACTTGCAAGGATTAGGTAAATAAACCATAAAAATATAATCATTATAAACATTTTGAAATTATAATTATTGGATACATCCAATGGTTAAATTAAAAAAAAATGTACAGTGGTGCAAAAATGAAAAGAAATGTATGTAACTGCAGATACCTAATTATATACCTACCTACCTACCTTATTGACTAGAATACAAGTAAAGGGGTACCTATGTTAAAATATTATTAAAAAAGAAGACTTCAACCTCCCCAATTCAAGCACTGGTTACATATGCTTTACAGTCTTATAATATAATTTATCATATTAGGTTTCAATGTTTAAAGCTCCTACAAAAAAACCAGATTTTGATAAATGGAAAAAAGCTATACCAAAAAGGGATATTGAACTAAGCACAAGATCATTTGTTTGTTCAAAGCACCTCAAAGAAGAAGAAATTATATGGTTTTGGAGTTCTGGAGAGGGAGACTCACAAATAAAAGTATTTACTAATAATAATAATAATAATAATAATAATAATAATAATAATATAATGTATGTTCTTAATATTTGTTTTATTTAAATTAACAATCTGTGCAATAACTAAAAAAATCATGTTAAATTAAGTACCAATATATTTACATGTATATTATTAAATAATAAAAGATACCGTAACGAAGCTAGTTATAGCTATTCCAGGTAATACATTTATCTATAATCTATGTATATTTCTTAATATATTTATTGTAAGTAGGTATCTATTTTAAAATATTTTCTTTGATCACAAAGTAAAAATATATCTGTCTAAATATATTTTTTGACAGGTGCAATTAAAAAAGCCAAAATTATTGAATGGAGCAATTCCTTCAATATTTCCAGGATGCCCTATATCGTGCATACCAAAAATTATAAAAAATAGGAAAAGTCCTAAAAAAAGGGATGATGTGTCCACAATCTCAAAAATTGATCATCAAAAAAAAGTCATTAGTGCTAAATCATACAGTATATTATCAGGTAGGTACAATAATTTATTTTTTGCTCATGACATGACAATATATTTAGATATTATATTATGTATAATTTTACAATTTTAAATTGATTCTGCATTTAATTGTCTATCAAAAATTTAAAAATATTTAAATATTTTTAATATTAAACATGATAACTTTCAAAATAGTAATCCAAAAATTTGCTTTATAATTGTGCATGCTAGAACAATTTAGTGGGTAGACCTAACAAAAATTAATTACTATTAAATACATGTCTTCATTTACATTAATTTATGTACAATTTTGTTTTTTATGAGACTTATTGACGAGTTTTTGTTTGTTTATTGTATGAAATCTGTATTTCAAGCATGAAAATTAGGGCCAAAAGACTGTAGCGTGATCTACCGGCAAACCTGCGAATAAAACACTTTCACTGGGACAATTGTTTGCATTACGAATATACGGCCGTGCGTATACCTCTATAATCAGGGGTACGAAACTCCGTGCGTTGGCCGAACCAGGCGATTGCGAATTTTGTACATACCTGCATAGTCCTTCTAGGCCATTGTAAGGTGAACATCAGATTAACTAACGAACATATTAAAGTTACATATAGTATTAAATGATTCATGTTGATATGTCTTGGCGGTTTTCCCTTCGTTTGATAACTGTCTTCGATCTACGGAAAATACATTATAATATTATGATATACAATTATAAATTATCAGAATAAATATTTACGTACTGTTATTATACACGACGGATTGTTTGTCATGAACGATGTGCGTAGATGCCAAATTATAAAATAATGTTTATAAGACTGTTTTTGATTTGACCCTACAATATAATTATGCTGTTTTTTTTTTGTTTTTAGCCAGGATATAATCATGCTGTGTTTTTTTTTTGTTTTTAGCCAGGATATAAAAAGGGAATATCAATGCCTTAAAACTATATATTATATTTATTTATTTTAGATTGAATAACGATATATTTTCTGTTATTTCCTCTAACGGTGTAACGGAGCAATAAAACGACTGGATAGAACGAAACAATTGGACAGATGAAAACCACACCAAGTAAAGGCAAACAGCATTACAACGGTGTGATGTTCATCTGTCAAAACAGAATACATGGACCAATCAGCGACTGACTAAGTTATCAAAAAGGGCATATATACCGGACGATTTCGATAACTTAGACAGGCACCCTTTATCGGTCCCTCACATTGGAGACGTATCGAATCTGTTCAAAACATCGGCATTCGCACGATAACGGGTATGCCCACTATCGTTAAAAATTCGGTCCTTCTAAAATCAGCAAATTTCAAGTCAATCAAAAATTCTATTCATAGCCAATCCAAATCGATGTTCTACAAAAACTCTTTCTCTACTCATGCCCACATCCGACTCTTAGGGAAATCTCACACCCCACCAACCACAAAGTGTAGAATCAAACCCTACCCTTTGACATGGGTTGACCAACTAATTTAAAACCACCTTCCTAAACATCCATCCACTAGTAGAGGCAAAAGCCTGGTATAGTTTTCACGGCTTAGCCATCCCCCCAAAGCAAAGCAGTAACTTAGACAGTCCACTTCAAGCCTTCAAACTGTCAACAACCAAAACCAGAGTTCCGACAGAAGAAGACCCGGACCGGCCGGACCACCACACAGACCGCTGCCCGACGGCAACGCCGCTCCACGGCTGCAAGCCTCGTCCGACCGCCGACTATCGACGAAACTACCGATCCACGGTGTGAGACCGGTGCCGACTCACGGATCAACGACGATACGCCGTTCGTTCCACTGCCCTTTACGTTCCGCAAGCATCGTTCCACCGACGAACCTACCGCTCCACTGCGTGAGATCGGTGCAGTGTTGGGAAAGTTCCTTTTAAAAAGGAACTCGTTCCCGTTCCTCTTTCCTGTCCCGAAAAAAGAACGCGTTCCCGTTCCTTCATGTTCCTTTTTTTGCAATTTAAGTGGTGGTCAATGGTGTATTTTGCAAAAAATTTTAAGTCAGAAATAATCGAACCGAGAGAGTTAACCGATTATTTCTGACTTAAAAATTTTTCTCAAAAAACACCATTGACTACCACTCAAATCGGTTAACTCACTCCCACAACGACCCGGAACACGACACGTAGTCGACCGACGGCGTCGCGGCTCAGTTTTGGCGCGGAAACACACTATATGCGCTTCATAAAATATACTGTGGCACTCAACGTGTTAAAAATAAATATATTTATATATTTTTTTTTCATTATTTGAGGAACGGAAATTTTCGTTCAAGTTCCTTCAAAATAGGAACTCGTTCCCGTTCCTCGTTCCTATATTTTAAATGGAACGCGTTCCGAGCTTCGTTCCTATAAAAGGAACGCGTTCCAGAAACGCGTTCCTTCCCAACACTGGATCGGTGCATACCCGCAGACCGACAACGATAACGCCGTCAGTACATATTATCCACGTGGCTGCCACTCAACGGCAATTAAATCCGTGTCGACATATAGTCCAGCGGCGACGACGCCGACCCGCGGATATAACCGCCAACCGATCATCGACCGCCGTCTACCAATCCAAACCTACGGGATCTCCGGATATTCAACAATCTCCGGCGTTATTCCAATAAACGGCCCTTTTCAGGGCCACCACCTAATCGACTTCGACGCTTACTTAAGCTGCTCGATCCGAGTCAGGTTCGTCGCCGGAGTACCACTTCATTAAGTTTGTACCGACGACGGCCGGCTCCCCTGCCCGATAACTATTGTACCTATAATAATACATATCACACAATTCCTAATGTGTAATTAGGGTCCGGCAACTTCCCGACCCATAGGCGCAATTTGGGCTAAATTTATGGGGGTGCTAGATTTATGTGGACCAAAGTAACCCGTGGGGGCTTCGCCCCCCACCCCCCTCATAACACCATTCATGCATTCATAATACTACCTGATTAATCAATAATTATTAATATTGAAAAATAAATATATAATACAGGTAAATACGTTTTTTATTTTCATTTGAATATTATAATAAAGATATATGCCTTTGAGACATAGCAAAATTATTTATTATTTCATTTAATAAATATCAAAACTTACTTCTTGGTGTTTATCATTATCATTTTTTGACTTTTTTTCAAAATTGAAAATACTAAAAATATTTTTAGTATTTTCCAGAATAAAATTTAAAAACAATAACAACTTGAGTAGGTAATTAAAATAAAATAAAATATAATTTAAATTAAATTAAATATAGGAAGTTAATGAGGATAAACAATAAAACACGTTACATGTACGTCGCACAGTCGCACAGACTTAACGATTCGAAAAATACGAGTGAAATATTATTATTATTATATAAGTCAAATCTTAGAAATTAATTTATCCTGTTGTCTATGACATAATACGTGTATAACCAATAACAATTAAATGATGCTGTTGAAAATTTGGGGGTGCTAATATGAATTTTGGGGGTGCTAAGCACCCCCAAGCACCCCCCAAATTGCGCCTATGGCCCGACCATAACCCAAGCGCCCCCGATTGTGTCGACCCACTTATATAAGTCTGGTCGACACAAATCGACGCTTTACTTAATCCCATATTGTAAATA